CTTTCTTCAAATAATATAAGTTATCGTTGAAGTTGGATTCTTCATATGCGATATCCTGGCATTGTTTGCTTATCCAAATGGCAACATCTATGATGGGGAGGCGGCACTTCCTACTCTTTACAACATAAGAAGTATCATTTATAGATACATATTTCTTAAAACATGAAAGTGTTTCATGCTTTGAACATTTATGTATGGTAACTAAATTACCTAAAACTGTAAAATCCCTGAGACCTCTGTAAATACCGATGATACTTGCACCATCTAGTAGCAGTTAATCGACCTAATATATATATATTTTTTTTATCTTTATGCCTGAATCAAACACATATTGAATAAACAGAAACCGTGCCAAATTTGATTTTTCAATGCAGAGCATGAACAAAATCACAATTAGGTTACATTGAATATGTAGATTCGTATCGATGCGTGTGTGTGTGTGTATCGTCTATGGAAATATGAAGTCATGCTTGGTAATGAATTACGAAAGAGCGTATAATCAGCTATTATTATGCACTGAATCCTGGCGTTTCTTTGAGGAGTTGCATCCACATTCGAAGAGATGAGCGAGAAAATGCATGTTTGCTTGTTTCAACTCAAGCAACTATTAGCCGGGTGGTTCCAAGGAGGGTGAATAGCAAAAGTCTTGGAACCAACTCCCAATACTCGTGTTGCATATCTTGTTCATTCTAATGAAATGGGAATTTCTCGGCCAGTTGTTATTGTCATCTATCCATTTTATTTCTATTTGCCAGTGCAATGTAATGAAATATATGCGTAGGTGTAGATGATGTTAGCATATCAAACTTTTACATCGAATTCATTCTCTTTATACATTATCCTAGAAGTAATAATTTCCAGGAACAATGTAGATAATAACACGAAGTCGTAAATTTCATCTCTTTTATGCCAATGAATATTCATCAATTCCTGAATATCCACTTCACTGAAAAAATACATGATCGATGGTCTAAGACGTCATAATAACATGAGAAATCCGAGGTCAAAACGAGGCTGCCAAGCTGACACCTTTTTCAGGATGGACGCATAGAAAGCTGTAATCTGAAATAGGCTGCTACAATTGGGTGGGATAGCTCAGTGGTAGAGCGCTGGCTTTGCAATCGCATGGTCCTGGGTTCGCGCCCGGCTGCCCCTCTCAGTCGACTCAGCTGTGAATGAGCACTGTTATGCTGACGTCAGCATGCTAGGGTCAAAGTCGGGGCAGAAAGGAACATGTCACCCTACCGCCCGCGGCTTAGTAAGCATGTTTCTCTACAAAACATGTCCCTTACGTCCAGATGGATATGGGACCAACTTTGACTTTTGACAATGGGGTGAGGGAAAATAACTTCTCCAACGGTGATATAATCGGAGAGCTGGGCATCTCCTGGACGATGGTGTACATGCAGATAGGGTGGGAAGAGGAGGGCACCCATAACGACCAAAATACACCGGACATACACGGAAAGCTCCATTGCTGAAGGGAATTAAAGGTGTAAATGTTAGCCCTTTTCAGTATTTCAGAAATCAATTTATTTCAATTTACTATATAGATATTTGTTTATACAGAACAGTGCCCTACACGTCATATTTCATGTTCACATATGACAGACAAATTATCTATAAAACGGCGAGGCGCGGCCGCGTGCCCCCTGCGATATGTGGGGGTGGATCTCCCTACATGATGTTGGCGAAACGGGGAAAATGCCTCTTAGACAGA